TTTTTAAGGTGAAAAGAATAGGGCCTAAGAGGTGATTCTAGCTTAAAAGATGATGTACAAGGTGAGCAAAAATTCTAGGTTAATGAAGCTGGAACCAGACTCGGTTGAGAATCGGCGGGTTCATAACTAGAATTGGAACCAGAATCGGTGGGTTTCATAATTAGAATTGGAACATTGAGTTTAATTCCGGGTAGTAAATTACGAACCGGTCTTGAACTGGAGGCTTCAAAACTGGAACTGGGATACCAAGTCCAATTTCGTCTAGTAATCGATTCCAATCTCAATTCTCAATTTTTTGGCGTCTTTCTTTCACAGCAAGCTGACCTTTAATTACACACCTTCCACATAAAATGGCAGAGCTTTGGTAGAGCATCGATGTTTCAAATCCTATGACACACATCCTCAGTCACCAATTCATCATTCATAATGTTTGCATCATTCACAATGTTTAAATACTTAGTAAAGATAGATTAAATTAATATTATAATTTGTGCTATTTTTCAACAATTACTAAGTATAAACTTCTTTTTATCAAAAAAAATAATAATAATTCTTATATTTTTTATACTTGCAACACTTCCCTTTAATGCACAATACTCTTTTTTTTTTTTGAAAGAACATAACGGTGTATAAATTAATTAAAGGACAAAATGTCCGAGAGTACATAAGGTGAAATCTCCGGGGGACAAAGATTTACCCATACTTGTTCTACACCGCTAGGCAAAAGCTTGGCTAAATGATGAGCAACGAAATTTCCATCTCTTCTAACATGATTCCAAGCATTCGAAATAAAGCTATAACTTAAAGAGAGAACATCTTCTAACACATTATCTAAATCAGAGAGAAAAACATCAGCTTTTGTTAGGCGATTCACAAGCACCTGCCAATCGGTCTCCACTATTATATCATTGAACCCATGAGCTTTAGCAAGCCTTACTGCCATACACACGGCCTTTGCTTCAGCTATCTCTGGCGGCCAACAAGCACGGACTCTTCTAGTTGCTGCGAAAAGAACCTTCCCCTCACTGTCCCTTGCGACCGCACCCATTCCCACCCATCCCTCAGTGGCGAGAGATGCATCAGCGTTAACTTTGACTGCACCAGCAGGGGGGGCTGCCAGTGCTTACTGCTCCTCTTCTCTTTCGGCAAGGCTGAAGTGTAAATTTTCTTAATGTAATTTCCAAACTCCTCAGCAAGTTTGCAAGCTCGAGCCACTAGCACTCCATTTGGTGTCCATGTTCCTTCAAACACCTTTTTATTCCTGTCACCCCACACACACCAAGCCAGGTAAGCAGCCCTTTGTTGTAGCTTCACATTTGCACTCTTCCAACTGAGCACAAGCTCACAAGGATCTCCTGCATTATTAGCACGAAGGGGAGAGCAGCCACAGTCTTCCCAAAGCTCCTCAACACGCATACACCCAAAAATAGCATGATAACCAGTTTCCACCTCTCCACACCACGGGCAGCAAGCTTCATCAATCATGTGCCGCGCCAAAAGTAGAGCCTTTGTAGGTAGAGTACCCGTACAAAACCTCCATAGAAAGTGGCGCACCATAGGTGATACTTCAAGGCTCCAAACAAAAACCCACACTTGATAAAAATCATCAAAATTGCAGCCTTTACCCAACATGTATGCATTCTTGGTCGAGTATAATCCATCCTTGGAGAAAGCCCATGTCAAAGCATCCTTAGATTCTCTCCAGCACTACTAGAAATAGGCCTATTTCCGACGGATTGGTTCCGACGGACACCTAATTCCGTCGGAAACATAGGAAATTCCGACGGATTTTTATTCCGTCGGACATTTACGACGGATTTTGAAGATCCGTCGGAGATTTCCGACGGAATATAAATCCGTCGGAATATATAAGCTTTACGACGGAAAATTCCGTTGGAAATGTAATTTTCCGACGGAATTAAAATCCGTCGGAAATTTCCGACGGAATATTCCGTCGGAATATATTTAAAAAAAAATTCTACAAACCCTAAAATCAGCCCTCCTTTTATTTCACCCCTCAACCGTTTTTTTTTCACTTCCCCCTTTTCATTCTCTCTCCTTTCTTTTGTTGCGCTGTTTCTCTCTCATCTATGGCTTCCTCTCCTTCTCCTCCTTCTTTCACCGTCATCTCACCCACGACCCTACGTTCTCTCCTTCGTACTTCCTCTCCGCCGTCGTCTCACACCGCTGCAACCTCTATAAATCCCCTTGCCGCGCCAGTTATCTTACGTTTTAGATTTTATACGGTTTTTAAGGTTAAATTCGACAGTCAAAACTCTAGATCTAGAGTTTTTATTGTCGAATTAAGCCTTATTAACCTAAATTTGTTGAAATTCGAAGCTAATTTCATAATTAAAGGTATGCTTTGATGTTTTTAATGTTCTTTCTTTTGTTTTAAAGTTTTTTTTTTTAAATTTGGTGGTTCTGGTGGCTCGTTGGTGGTTTTAGGGTCAGTTTAAGGGTGGGTCGAGGGAGGTGGTGGTGGGTGCCGCCAGGGCTAAGGGTTAGGGTTTGGGTGGTGAGCGAAGGTTGGTTTAGTTAGGGTTCGTTCTGGTCTGGGAGGGGTTTGGGTGTTTTAGGTCGGGTTTGGGTTTGGGGGGTTTGGGTCTGGGTTAGGTCAGGTCTGGGTTAGGGGTTTGGGTCTGGGTTAGGTCGGGGCTGGGTTAGGGGTTTGGGTCTGGGCTAGGTTTGGTTTTGTGGTGTGGGTTAATTTAGTGGGTGGCGGTGGTGGTGGTCTGTAGTGGCGGTGTTGGTCTGATGTGGTTGGTGGTGGCAGTGGGTTAGGGTTTGAGAAGGTTGGTTTGGTTGGGGTTGACAGGGCCTTTTTGGGTGGTTGGAGGTGGTGATACGCCGTGCCGGTGGTGGCACGGCGTATTTTTTTTAATTTCCCGAAAATTGTTTCCGACGGAATTTCCGTCGGAAATTTCCGACCGAATTGGAAATTCCGTCGGAAATTTTCGACGGAATTCGCAGGTACCAGAAATTGTCTTGCGACGGAAAATTCCGTCGGAAATTCCGTCAGAATAGTGTTTCCGACGGAATTTTCGTCGGAAAAGGTGGTTTTTCCTACCAAGGCATTTTTTACAACCTTTTCCGACGGAATTCCGTCGGAAACACCTTTTCTGACGGATTTCAAGGTGTTTTCGACGGAATTTTTCCGTCGGAAATGGGCCTTTTTCTAGTAGTGCAGCTCAATGGAAGTGCTAAAATGCACTTTTGGTCTCTCGAATTAAAAATCCGAGAAATCAACTCAACGTTCCAGTCCATACACTCAAAATTTATCAGGTCGCACACATGAGAAACTTCACTACATTCTGCAGTAGTAACAAACCTACCACTCTCATCCGCCACCCACGGGTCCTGCCATATGTTCACTTGAGTTCCAGTCCCTATTCACCAAATCACTCCCTCTTTCACCAGTGATTTTGCACTCCACACACTTTGCCACGAGTAACTCCCCGCATACCCAAGTGAGGCTTCGAGAAAAGAGCAATTCAGATAGTACTTCGCCTTCATAATTTTGCCTAGGAGCGAACTCTCATTATGAACCAATCTTCACGCTTGTCGACCCAAAAGTGCATCATTAAACACTCGTAGATCTTTAAAGCCCATACCTCCTAAGCACTTGGGGGTGCAAAGCGCACTCCAACTTCTCCAATGTGTCTTTCGACGACTATCCGAGCTACCCCAAAAAAACCATGCCATGGCACTATGGATCTTCTCAATCACCGAGCATGGGAATTTATATACTCCCATCAAATAAGTTGGGATGGCTTGTATTACAGCTTTTAGGAGTACCTCTTTACCAGCTCTAGAGAGGAGTTTTTCTTTCCATCCTTGTAGCTTTTTCCAAATTCTGTCGAGCAAGGCTTCGAACACCACCCTTTTTTATCTTCCTGGAACAGTTGGAATGCCAAGGTACTTCTCATGCCTATCCACTTGCCGCATACTCAAAACATTCATCAATTCTTCTCTTTGCTCTTGTCTAACACCTTTGCTAAAAGACACCTCCGACTTTTCATAATTAATTTTCTGACCGGATGCTGCTTCATATTGGTTGAGAATTTCAACTATTTTTTGGCATTCCTGTCGGTTAGCTCTAGCAAAAAGTAAACCGTCGTCTGTAAAAAGAAGATGAGATATTACCGGGCCCCTGCGGCTAGCTCTCCATTTATCACTTTATTCCTCAACATCAAAGACAGGGCATCTGCAACAAGAATAAAGAGATACGAGGACAGGGGATCCCCCTGTCTTAGACCCCTAGAAGGAGTCACATCAACACATACTCTTCCATTGATGATAAAAGAGTATTTTACCGAAGAGACACAGGTCATAATCAAGTTAACCCATCTCCCGTCAAAACCCATAGTGAGCAACAATTTCTTCAGAAAACCCCATTCTACCCTGTCATAAGCCTTACTCATGTCCAGTTTCAAAGCAATCTTACCCTTTCTGGCCTTACTTCTCTTTTTCATAGTATGAAATAATTCCATAGCAATGAGCGCATTATCAGTAATGCCTGGAACAAAAGCACTTTGATTTTCTGATACAACTCCCGGCAAAATCAATTTCAATTTCATCACAATTACTTTCGAAACTAACTTATAAAGTACATTACAAAGGCTTATGGGTCGAAATTCCGAACATGAAGTTGGTGATTTTATTTTAGGGATTAAAGCAATATTAGTTCTATTAACATGATCCAAACTAGTCCGAGCATTTAGAACATTGCTAACAAAATTAGTCACATCATCACCAACAATATGCCAAAATTTTTGATAAAAAATAGCATGCATACCATCCGGTCCCGGGGCCTTGCAGGGGTGCATTTGTTTAAGAGCGTCAAGAATCTCCGCCTTTGTATATGGTTTTTTCAGGTCCAAGTTTTGTTCCGGAGTGATAGAAACCGACACATGTTGTAGTACTTCCTGAAGAGCCTCGGTAGAAGACCCATTTGTATCGAAAAGGTCTTTGTAGTACTCAGTGATGACTTTCTCCATCTACAACTCATCTGTCTGCCAAAAATTATTTGAGTCAAACAACCCATGAATTGTATTTTTAGCTTTCCTATGGGAGGCTTTATGGTGAAAGTAGCTCGTGTTTTGGTCTCCATCACGAATTTCAGCAACTCTAGACCTCATTAACCAATGAGCTTCTTGCTTCTCATTCAACTCTTGTAACTCTTTCTCCAATCTCACGCAAATATCACAGCTACTCTGAGAAATTGGCAATTGATGGGCTGCTCTAAGAGCCTGCTCTTTCTCTTCGATTTTAGTGCCTATATCATCAAACTTCTCTCGACTCCAAGTCATCAATTTCTTCCCAACTGTCATCAATTTCATCATAATATCAGCCCTTGCTTCTTCCTCCCAAGCGCTTCTAATAGTGGCTTCACAGTATGCATCCAACATCCATGCGATTTCGAACTTGAAGCCTTTCTTCTTCTTTTTTCGTTTATTTTGTTGCTCCAACCTCAGCAAAATAGGAGTATGGTCTGACTGCTTTTTCAAAAGATGTTCAACATAGGCACACGGGTAGAAACGTATCCAAGATGAAGTGGCAAGATATCGATCAAGCCGTTCTTGAACTCGAGTAGCAACAGTCACACCCCTCTCCCAAGTCCACCATTGACCTCTAAAACCCAAGTCCCTCAACTGACACACATCCATTGCCTCACGAAACCCAGCCATTTCCCTCCTCTCTCGACCCGACCCTCCTTCCTTCTCTTCATAAGTAAGAATTTCATTAAAATCGCCCTAAAAAACTATTGGAATATGAGCTTCACCACATAAGTGATGTATGAGACTCCAAGTTTGACATTTATTAGCACTATTCGGCCACCCATAAATACCTACAAACCTCCATTTCTTCCCTTGCCTCACCACATCACCACATATATGATTTTGTGAGAACGAAACAAGAGAGAAATCCACCTTATCAACATTCCAAAACAATTACATACCTCCAGACTTACCTACACTAGACACACCAAAGGAATTGGAAAAACCAATCCTTTCTTTTATTCCTTCTATAGCTACTTTATTAATCATGGTTTCTGACAGAAAAACCATGTCCAGGCCATGTAGATTGCTCCATTTTCGGAGCCTTCGAACTGACCAAGGGTTGCCCATCCCTTGGCAGTTCCAACATAGAACACTCATTGGCCTTGGCGGGGTTGGTTCACACCAACCTCCGCCATAATATCATCCTCGTAAGCATTTAAGAAAACCTTAGTTCTCTTCTCCTCCCTCTCAACCCCTTCCAAGTTTCCTGTCATCAACTCCTCCACCCTTCTTTTTTGATTAATTTCTACCTCCCCACTCCCCTGTTTTTTCACTCCCTTTTCAATCCTTTTCCAAGATTTCTTTCCCGTTGGAGCAATTACAGTTTCATTTTTAGCACTAAAGGAAAAGGATGGCAGTGTAAATCTTTGACACTTTCCATCTCTCTTTGGTCAATAGTCACATTCACCCCTGCCCCCACCGAATCTTCTTTCTCTCCACTAACTTCAGTGTTGGTCAAAGTAACTAAGGCACTTCCATGTTCTTGCAGCCCTTTCTCACTCACTTCCCCTTCTTTAGTCACAAAAAACTTTTTCCTTCCCTTCAAGGCCTATGACACCTCCTCAAGCTCCATCGCATACCCCTTTCTAGGTGAGGCTCGAAGGTACAAACCCCACCCTAACTGACTCTCCTTCTCTTCTTCTGTCACTACCAAACAATCCTTTTCTGAGTGCCCTATGACACCACAAGCAAAATAGAAATACGGCAATCGCTCATACTTGAACTCCACCTTAACTTTGTTGCCTCCTCTATCCTTCACCCACTGGTATCTGCGCAAGGGTTTCGATACATCAATCAATACACGGACTCTTCTATAGCGATTCAATCCCAGGAGATCATCCTCTATTTCCAGCACTTCTCCAAGTCCAGCAATAAGGGTTTTGAGATAATTATTTGTTCTGCAATTAAAAGGCAATTTGCTAACCCTAATCCAGAACGGTGAGAATTTCAATTCAACCTGGTCCGGCTGTTCATCGCCCCTTACTTCATTAAGGACAATTAAATGATTGTCCCAGCACCAAGGTCGTCCCTTAAGAACCTTTTCTTTATCCCGCCAATGGAAAAATTGGAAGCTATAAAGATTAGGGCTTAAAACCCTAACAATCATCCCTTCCTTAGGCGCCCAAGACTTCAGCATCGTTCGTTTAAACGCCTCGATATTGTATGGTCTAGCAGTACATAATCGTCTCACCAAAAGCAGAGCAAGTTTTTCTTCCGATTCTGTACTTTCAACGTTCCCTAAGTCAATCAAATTACCTTCCTCCTCTTCCAATCGTAGAGAGGAGCATTTTTCAATCAGTTCCTCCGCCATAATGCTGGAGATCGGCACGTTCGAGACAACAGAGGTCGTTCCTTTCTCGCGAGGAAGCGCAACCCTATCTTTCGAGGGAGAATTTTTTAATGCACAATACTTGCAACATACTATAAATAAAAAGTTTTTAGGGTCAAAATTGTATTTTATTACCCTTATTTAATGCTCATGGTATGAGGGAAAATATCCTGCGTTGGTTTGGATATGTAAGACGGAGACCCGAGAGTATTTAAAATATGTTAAAGGTTGGATTATTTAAATCAAATTTTCCAATTTTGGTTGGTTTTTTTTAGTGAAATTTTTTTTAGTTTGTGCGTGTTATAAAATATGTTAATGGATGGTCATTATAGCTTGTAACTATCCCTTTTATGACTATCTTAAGTATGGTAGTAATAGCATCCTTGTAAACCTCCTTTGTCATTAGTCCACAGTAATCCTCTCATGAATGGACTCTTCATTGTCCATATGAGTTACAATGTTCACATCTTGTATATATATAGATGGTTATGAAATGGATGGATATAGACAACACAATTACCTCTCTACATTTCTCTCTCTACTATTCTCCCTTTCTTATTTCATAATACGTTATCAGCACCATTGCTTTACCTATCAAAAATCAAAGGAAACCATAGTCAAATAATATAACAAAAGATCATAATCATCTACAACATGGATATTACTCAAGTTCAGTTTGCTATGAATGGTGAAGAATTATGTCTTGCTGACAGTGCAACTACTCATACAATACTTAGAAATAAAAAAAGCGAGCCCTTATTGCAGCTCGTGCTACTGAGTCCACCAAGTGGATGTAGCCAAATGGATCAAGGCAGTGGATTGTGAATCCACCATGCGCGGGTTCAATTCCCGTCGTTCGCCCATAATTGTATATCCAACCATTGTGGGTATAATGGTGGATGCCCGTGATCAAGTTACTATTATTTATTTTTCCGCCTTTGTGTTAAGCTTCTCAATTTTTCTTAATGAACGATTCGCTACAAAAGGATTTTTTTTAGTGAACGTGTCACAGCTCTAGATCCCCTTTATCAAAAATGACACTATGTAACTTTATTGCATTGGAAAAGACTATGACTATGCAATAGATCCCTTTTGTTCAATAGATCATCTCTAAACAAGGATTAATGTTTGTTCTATTCTGTTTGTAATAATGGAACAATTAAGTTTGTAGGAACAAAGAGAAACAAATCTATTCTATACCCGATAAGTAGCAATACGCAATGGGGAGTTGATACCACCGTCGAGGAGTAAATGCTTTCATACTTATTTAGTATTGGAAGGCTATATTGGTAAGAATTTTCCTTTATTTATTCCGTCTTCTTAAACTAAACCTTTCTAGTCTATGTAGAAAATCTAATAAAGATTGATATTATAAAGACAATATTTCTCTCATTTGATGATGAAAATGATTAATGTGAGTACCATATCGGGTAGTACAAATATCATTGAGGGCTCCGGAAGAGCCACTATAAAATTGCCTTGGGGAACTGAAATTAAAATAATTGATGCTTTATACTCCCCATTGTCTCAAAGAAATTTATTAAGTTTTAAGGATATTCACAACAATGGTTATCATATTGAGACAATCAATGAAGAAAATAGCGAATTCCTTCAAATCACAAATATAACTCAAGGCACAAAACATGTTTTGGAGAAACTCCCTACATTCTCCAGTGGTTTGTACTACACAAAAATCAATACTATTGAAACTCATGCTATAGTAAACCAAAAGTTTATTGATAATTTTGTTGTTTGGCATGACCGGTTAGGCCATCCCGGTTCAATAATGATGCGAAAAATAATTACGTATTCATGTGGACATTCTTTAAAGAGCCAGCAGATTCTTCATAATAATTTTTCATGTGCTGCTTGCTTAGAAGGCAAGTTAATAATTCGCCCATCACCAGCTAAAATTAATTTTGAATCAATTAGTTTTCTGGAACGTATACAAGGAGATATTTGTGGGCCCATACATCCCCATGTGGACCATTTAGATATTTTATGGTTTTAATTGATGCATCAACTAGATGGTCACATGTGTCCTTGTTATCAACTCGTAACCTGGCGTTTGCGAGATTACTTGCCCAATTGATTAAGTTACAGGCACATTTTCCAGATACTCCTATTAAGACTATTCAGCTTGATAATGCTGGTTAATTTACATCTCAAGCTTTCAATGATTATTGCATGTCCATTAGGATAAATGTTGAACATCATGTAGCACATGTTCATACACAAAATGGTCTGGCTGAGTCATTAATTAAACGTCTTCAGTTAATTGCTAGACCATTGCTTATGAAATCCAATCTCCCAATTTCTGCTTGGGGACATGCTATATTACATGCAGCAACACTAATTCGCATTAGGCCAACAAGTTATCATAAGTTCTCCCCATTAAAATTGGTTTATGGTCAAGAACCAAATATTTCCCATCTAAGAATTTTTGGATGTGCGGTTTATGTTCCAATAGCTCCACCACAACGCTCTAAGATGAGTCCTTAAAGGAGGTTGGGAATATATGTTGGGTTTGAATCCCCGTCAATAATTAAATATCTTGAGCCTACAACAGGGGATTTATTTACGGCTCGTTTTGCAGATTGTCATTTTAACGAGTCACTTTTCCCAACATTAGGGGGAGAAAAGAGAGAGTTGGAAAAGGAAATTAAATGGAATGAATTATCATTTTCCTATCTTGATCCTCGAACTAAACGATGTGAATTGGAAGTTCAAAAGATGATTCATTTACAAAGTTTAGCGAATCAATTGCCAGACTCATTTGCTGACCCAAAAAGAGTGACCAAGTCACATATTCCAGCTGTAAATGCTCCATTTAAAATGGATGTCCCAGAAGGACAAAATAAATTTGCTAATGAGTCTAAACCACGTCAGAAACGTGGAAGACCAATAGGTTCCAAAGATAAGAATCCTCGGAAAAGAAAAGGAGCATGGTTGATGATGGTCAAATTGAAGAAACAATTTCCGAAAGATCTCCAGAAGAGAATTTAGACATGATATAGGAAGAAATTCGGGTACCTGATAATGAAGAAATTTCAACAAACTATATCATGTCTGGAATTACATGGAACCGAAATCAAATCGACGTCGATGATGTTTTTGCATGCAATATAGAATTAAATGTTATGGATAATAATGAGGATCATGAACCAAAATCCATTGAAGAATGTAGACAAAGAAATGATTGACCAAAATGGAAAGAAGCAATTGAAGCATAATTAAAATCTCTTGGAAAAAGAGAAGTATTCGGACCTGTAGTCCGTACACCTGAAGGTGTAAAGCC